CAGAGAAGGAGGAACGGACTCCACCTCACTGATTCATCCAGCTGCCCCCAGTTCATTGAGTCACTGAGTCAGGCTCTGTGATTTGTCACAGGTGGCTCTGCTTGAACGCAGTTCAGCAGGTCCCCATCACCAGGACGTGAACTCCGTGTTTTGTTCAGTATGTGCGACCGGTTGCGCCATTCTCCATCCCCTGATGCATAGCTAAGGGTGAGGAAGGCGCTGGCTGTGGAACTCGCGCTTCTTATGTGAGGCTGACTTTGCTATACAATGGTGAAAGTTTATCACCACTGGGTCACTGGTACAGCACTGTGACCCCCTTTATGTTAGATCTTTGATTTAGGTTGCATTGTACATCACCTGATTCCCTGCTGGTGTATGAATCATTATGATTTTATTCAGAGAAACTAGCATTTAGCCTGAAAGCACAGAATTCCTTTTAATAACTTGTCACTATGAGAGAGGATGAGGAAGCAAATATGTGGGCGGCAGCTGCTTCCATGTGACCAGCTGAGCGTTGTGGCTCTCCTGCCCGGTGTTATCACGTTGATCCACCTCGCCACAGCTCTCCTCATGAATGGAAGAAGCCCAGCCAACGCTGCACTGTCCTGACCACAGTCTTGGCCCTTCCGGCCCTGTGACGGGCTTCCTGCTTGTCAGGAAGAGGGTAAGGGATTTACTTGCACAGATGGCTTGCTTTCACCACCAACCTGTCCTTTCCTTCCTGCAGTTGACAAGACCAGATGGATGAACAACCTGAAATTAAACTTCTCACCAAGTTGTTCTAAGCAAGCAGACGTTTTATTAATATGGGCTCCTGAAGATGGAACAATACATGCAGATGATTGATTAGGAAATCTAATTAGAGGCAGCAACGTGGAAGACTGAAGCAGCGGGTGTACTCCCAAAATAAGCAACACACTTATATTTAATACTCGGAGTTGGAGAATTGAAACGGGAGTATATGTTAGAGTGGTCAAATCAGCATTGTCTGCCTATGACTTGGATTTATTCCCAAGATATCTAAAGCTATACGTAAGTGATAATATTGAAAGACACATGACATTGTTTCCAAAATATGAGCAAATCTAGGAGCATTTTTTACTTCACCGAGGAATCATGGGTCCGTCTAAGCTCCTTTAGATCTTGTCATCCAAGATTCACATTAGTGATGTGTTTGGCTTGCCAAATTTAGTTTAAGAAGCAAAGCTAATGATGTTCTCAGTGTTGGGAACCTGAGGAGTTTGCAGAGGTGCTTCCCACAAGAATCAGGAGGAAATCCATCATTCTTGGGTCAAAGTGCAGGAGCAGCACAGAGCACTTGGTCCGCAGGTCCCAGTGTAAATATTTCATGGGAGAAACACCCCTGATAAGGAGACCCAACAGCCTCTGCCCTTCAACTCCACCACCACTTTAGCCTGGTCTCATTTTCTGCACCATTCTTGATCCTCCCTGGGGCCCTTCTGTGGCTTGTGTGCTTCCCCATCTCTACCTTGTCTCTGGGACAAAATATGTACCTGACCGGTAACGTAAAGGAGAGTCTCATTTTGGCTCACGTTTTAGAAGTTTCAGTCCTTGCATGGTGGAAGAGAGCTGCTGGTGTCATTGCTGCCAGGAAAAGAGAGAGAGGAGGAGCCGAGAGGAAGATGCGCCTTCCCAGGTCACGCTCCCTCCAGCTCTTCCCTCCCCACCAAGCCCCACCTCCTACCAGCACATTCATTTGTCAAGTCATCAATAGGCTAATCCCCTGTTGAGTCCAGAGCCCACATCCAAGCACCTCCCAAAGCTCCACCGTTGATAACATGTGAGCTTAGGGACACCACTAGGTATAAACCAGAAGGCCCCCAGAAGGACTCGCATGGTAGTAAATCTGAATCAATGAAAAAACTGAATGGGTGAACGCAGAGAGGGCGGGGGCATTCCTAGACCAGTGGATTTGCCCTGTGCTGAGATATACTGCATCAAAATATTAAACACAGGTCAAAGAAAGTAGTGCTAGGATTGGTGCATTGCGTCAACTTGAGAAGTCTAGAAGCTTAACTGAGTAACTCAGCAGTTCTCCATGCTGGGTGCAGAGGACATGCCCTTATTGCTCTAGGACATTGTTCATTGTGTCAATCTGAGAAGTTTAGAAGGTTAACTAAGTGACTCAGCAGGGGACCAGGGGCCTGGCTTTGTAATATCCTCATCTTGTGCAAGAGGAGGGCACAGATGGTGTGAGTGCTGTACCTGCCCTGGGTTGGGGGAGTGAGCTGCTTACGACATAAGGGAGGAAGAGGCTCTCTCTCCCCCTTTCTGCTCTTGTGGCTTTTGCTGTCCTCTGCTGCCTTGAACCTTGCCCTCCCCATGCCACCTTCTCTACGGGCCAACTGATTATGGACTGAAACCTCCAAAAACCATGAGCTACATAAACCTTTCTTTCTTTATGTGCTAAGTATAGTGTCCCAGTGATGAGAGAAAAGTGACCAAGACAAGTACTTAGTTAAAACTTGGAGACACAGAGGCCAAAGCAAAGGTGCCCATCCAGGCGCATCCAAAGGCGGCCCCTTGGTCATCACATGCAAGGACTGTCTCGAAAGTGGTGGGGCTTCCACCTTAGATGTCTCTCTGTCCTCCCTCCCCACCAGAGATACAAGGATGCACAGACCCTAAAGCCCAGTCTCCTGAATTCGGTCCTGACTTGGCCGCAGACAGGGTGATCTTGAGCAAATTACTTCATCTCTACCTCACTTTTAAAACTATAGAATCATGTAATAGTCTCTGGGTATGTTTTGAATATTGAGTGAAGAAATACATGTAAATCATTCATAACAGCACCCACCTATTCTAGCAATTCTGTAGGGATCCAATAAATGCTATTATTAGTTGTCTTCTATTGATTTTGATGTTTGACATGTAGGAACTCAAATATTTGATTTATTTTCATGTAACATGCTATTTTAAAGGCCTAGTCACTTCGGCTTTAATGAATCTGAATTTTTCCCATTGCCTTTCTTTATTCCATGCTTATCTCTGTTGTCTCCCATGTTGGGTGGGCCTTCTGGTTGTGTTGGGGCGGTATTTGGCGATCCAGTCCAGCCTACTGCACCCTGCTCTGATTTGTCTCTATCCGATAGATGTTCAGAGGCAATCGGGCACATTCAGGGCGGTATGGCCACAGCCTAGATGTCCAGATATCTGTCTCCATGTGCATCTTGTTTGAACCTCAGTTCACACAAAGGTTCACGAACTCCTGAAAGCTTGGCTTCCGCCTGCGGACGGAGAGGTGTGCTCCCCTGTGGTGCCAAGGTCAACTTGCATGGCCCTGCTGGGAGGGCATCCAGGTGGCCCTCAGCCATCTGGTGAGGGATACAAGTGGCTCTGGGAACTAAGTACCACTGACAGCCACCAAAGTATAGGAACCCCAGTCTACCATTGTAGGGAATAGTCTGCCAGCAGGACAGCGAACCGGAAACAGACTATTCCCCCAAGGCGTCCAGGATAGAACTCAGCCCAGCTGACACCTTCACTTTGGCCTTGTGATTGCCATCCGCAGAGACCCAGACACACCACTCTATCCCCCCTCCCTACAAGCTTTCTAGCCCGCAGAACAGTGGAGTAGTGGGAAGGCTTGGTCTTACAGCCACACGTTCGCAGCAATTGGTCACACAGCTTCCCTACACACCCGCTTCCCTAGAAGTGTATATTAATTATCACAGATGCTGGCACGTTGGGGTTATGTGCTGCAGAGACCAGCCTAAACCAGTGTGCACGCAGGATACTGGCAGGGAGGAAAGCGGCAGCAGTCCTGGCTCCCTAGGGCTCAGCTCCAGGCTCCTCATCCATTTACACTTACTCACCTGGTAATAGGCTTGTGTTTCAGCGTAATTCTGATATTTTAAACATATAAATGCACATGTGCCTATATGCACATACATACATAAAATAGATCCCTACATTATACAGGTAATGCTTCGTAATCTTTTCAGCAACATAATTATAACCATAGGAAAAGATTATACTGTTTAGATGAGTGCATTTTGGATCCTTTCTAAAAGTAAACAATAAGTTTTCTCCATGAAGAAAAAGTCAGGGAGGGGAGAGGAATGAGGGGAAAAGAATAAAGATGTATTGTGCACAGACACAAATTCCCTGTGGAAAACGTGATCATTATGTGTACCTAAAATATACCAATAAACTTAATTTTAAAAAAAGAAACCCAAAAATGGAGATAATTAATACAAATACCAACCAAACAAGCTAACTATTCACACAGTAGTTCATAAGCAACATACAAAGCCATTTGTGAAAATTTCAAATGTACCCAAGATCAGAGAGAGGTCATCTGCTTCTGTGCCTTGACATAGAGCCACACCTGTGCCTAGAAGTCTCCCAGGCGCAGAATCCTGCTGTGACCTCACTAACAAAGTTCGGTGAGTTGTGCTCATACCGTTCTGGCCATTTCCACTCTTTCAAATTTTTATTTCTAACGTCAAGGCAATCTGAAGATTTGTTAAAGTTCTAACATCTCTGTTAAGACCAGACTTTTTGACATTGAATTTAGACACGAGCACTTCACCCAGAGCTCAATCCCCAAGTGATGTCCCCCACTGGCAGAAGACAGAGGACACCAGGAACTCCTTCCAGAATCACTCAGAGAGCTGAGAATGGTCAGAGGAGGGACGGGGGAGGAAATGAGATCACTCCCGGACGTGACTACAAGCCGGCTGGGCTCATGCCCCACAGAAAGCCTGTGCGGGGAGGCCGTCGTGGCTTTGCTGTTAGCTTTACTGCAAGCTGTGGATTCCACTGAGCTTTTTAAACGTAGCTCTGATCCAACAAAATTCAATGTGTCACCAAATGCAGCTTTTTAAAGTAGATGTGGAGACTCGGTCAAATGATATCACAAAGAACGGTGCTTTGATACGCTGCACACTTTGAATGAAAAAACCCGGACGGCCTCAGAAGCTGCCTTAGAGTCAAAGTCTCTCTCATGTTCTCTCACTCTCCTTCTTCCATTGCAGGGAGAGACTTCTCTGAAATCCCCTTTGTACCTAACGGCTGAGTCCACCAAGAAAGAAGCCGTTTCCTGTTGATCCCGCCCTGCAGCCCCACTGGCCAGAGATGAAACTCTCGTCCCTGAGCAATCCCACGGCACCTAGACACGCTTTATCGCAAGCTCTTCTGTTCTTCGGTCCATTCAACCTCCACAGAGAATCATTCACTAGCTACTGTACATTCTTTAGGCCTGCTGATTCTTCTAAAAAGTTTTTATTCCCCCAGAAATTGCCTGCTTGCCTGCCTTCTCTCAGTCCACATGAGAAGGGTGCAGAGGTTGCTGAGTCTCTGGATTTGAGGCATTAGTCCTGCTGCCAGGCCGCATGCTCGTTAGTGTTTTTCTTTTCTCCTATTTATCTGTCCGTTGTCGCTTCATTTCAGGCTGCCCTCAGCAGACAGAGGGAGTATTTCTCTTGCCTCATGGTAGGCTTGATGATGGGAAAATAATTAGAGATCCCACACTGCCTTGCTCCGAAGGGGGCGATTATATGAGCTCTAATACTTTAAGAAGTCACTTCCCGGTGACTCACGGAAATCAGAACGCGTCAGTCAGGGTCTAAACAGGACACAAAGCCACTCCGAGATTTGAATAAAGAAAGAGCAAAGAATGCAAAGCCTTGATACCAGGACCTCGCAACTGCAACAGAAAGTCAGCTCGCCGAGAGATTGGCTAGGAAGCGCTGCAGGGAAATTAAAAAATAAAATAAAATAAAATTGCAGGAGTAGCAGCCACTTCATCTCAGGCTGTGCCAGAGTACCCCAAAAAGAGTCCGGCCCTTGGGGAGGTGGAGGGAGGGCCGCAGCTCAGAGAGCAGCACAGTCCAGAGGGGGCTTCACCAGCCCCCTTTAGGTCAGCCCTTAGGATGCTAGGCAAAGCCGCTCAGTGGAGGTGGCCACCAGAACGCCTTCCTGGCTCCTGGGGAGCTGCTGGCCTGCAGGAGTCAACACCGGAGAAGGAACCTGAGGCCGGAGAAGCGGCCCACACCGCAGGAATTCAGCGCGGAGTGCTGAAAAAGGGACCCACGCCGCAGGAGCGCAGCATGCGCTGCAAGAGCCCGGTGCGTGGACCCCACGATGCCTCGCCGGCGCCCTCTGCCGACCAAATTCAACACCGTGACTGCTGACAAGAGAAAAATGTCCAAAGGACCCAGAACGGTTTTCACAAATTAGACAATCAGAACGGAGCTGTTGCTGAGACGCACGCACGGCGTTGCTCACTGGCAGCGACAGGCCTTCTCTATCGCCCTCGCTGCTCCGGGTACGGTGGTGCCCACCTCTGAAGGCGCCCGCTCGGGAACCGACCCTTGAGCCGGCTGCTGGCAAACTGCATCTCCCTCCACCTCCTCCCGCGCGGGACAGCGATGCTCCGCGCACAACGACAGCTTTGCGTGCACCACGCTGGCGAGCCGCCCACGCCTTTGCAGTCCTCTCTCTCCACAGACAGGCCGCCCTCCACCTCGGCCTGCTTCAACTTCATCCTCTGTTCCGTTACATTTCTGCCGCTGGTGTTCCCATCACTCAACCTCCTTCTGCTGGGCAGACAACCCGGAGAGCTTGGTGGTTAGGGCAGGCGGGAGGGAAAGGGCAGTATTCCTCTTGTCTTGCCTGTTTCCTTGGAGCCTCCAAAATGATGCTATTTTCTTTCCTTTGCTGCCTACGAGAGCGGCCATATTGTTTCAGGTGGTCCCACACGAGGGCAATTAGTTAGCTTTCGTGTTAAAGATAGAGGGGGCCTGCTGGTTAGCTCAATTGTTTAAGCGCCTGCTCATGCAAATGCAGTCAGGCTCAGGAGGTTCGAACCCCTCCTTTGCTCCTCTGCTCCTCCACCTGCCTTACCAGACCCGCCCTTAAGACAGGCAAAAAAAAAAAAAAAAAAAAAAAAATCCAGTTTTAAAGATGCGGATAGGGGTTTTTAAAAACTTTAAAAAGTAAATTCAGGGGCCAGCCAAATAGCCCAGCAGATTAAAGCTCTTGCAAGCAGGCGCAGGGGTCGGTAGTTCAATCCCTGGGTATGATGTGCTGGCCCAGCCTCACCCCTGGGAGGCACTGAGATGGCAATTGAAACTGGGCGAGGTGGCGCGCCTGTAATCACAGCTCTTGAGCAGTTGTAAACAGGCAGATCACTACGAGTCCTATCTAGTAGTGAGACCCTGAACACCCTGTAGACCCTTCCCTAAAAAGAAAAAAGAAAGGAAGAAAAAGAAAAAGAAAGGAAAATTCATAAAAAATACGTCATTAATGAAAATGCTTTGCACATGTAGGTATTTGTTACATTTGGTGTTAGGCCCTCGAAGACCTTCATTTTATTCATTTAATGATCTGTCTCTCATAGTGCTCAGAGACTTCATAAGCTATTTCATGATATCTTGATCTGAAAGACCCTTCGGTGTGAGCACACATATGTCCACTCAGCAGTTCCACATCCATCCTGCACTGATTCAGTTCATACGTAAGTGTGGACTAAGGGTCGGTGCTCTGTGGGTGCTTGCAGGGCGTGAGGGGTTGCAGGAAATGCGCTATGGATTTTCTCATCTGGGCAACACTTCACATGGGATGGTGGGGGGAGCAGCTGGACAAACGCCCCAGTGCCGGGACCAGCCAGATGTGCGGGGTAGCCCGAGCAGAGACGTGCATGCTGTAATTTGAAGACCAGCAAAAACTGGATTTGGGGATTGCAACCAATGGTATGAGAAGATCTCAGAGGACAGTAATGCTGGCTCCTTAAGGATGGAGGCTTGTCATGTGTGTCATCAGCCTCCCAGCTCCCGGGCACAGGGGACTCCTTCTGTCCACTTGGCCACTAAGGGTAGCAAGTGAAGGGAACTGAGCCCCCATGTGCAGGTGCAAAGCTGAAGGAGCAGAGCTGCCTTCTTCTGATTTTGCCATTAAATAACTGCCTTGGGAGAAGCCACTTGTGTTGGGGACCCTGGAGTTACTGGGTTCAGTGACTCCCTCGACGGGCTGGGCAGAGCTCAGCAGAGCTGACCCGCCTGTGTTCGCAATCAGCGCAACAGAAGAACCCAGACCAAGATGAGGACAAAGCTCAGCCATCTTCTGAGCTTCTGGGTCTGGTGTGCGATGCTTATTTCTCCCAGCAGGAGTGCTTGGCACTGCTCAGGGACCGCTGCTGCTCAGCCCACAGAGCCTAGCACTGCCTGCTGGTTCCAGGAAAGTAGGGGTTTGTTATGGTACAGATGTAAAATGGTTCCTAAGAGTCTCATGTGAGGAGCTGGGGAAATGGCTCAGTGGAATAAGTGCTTCCCTGGCAAGCGATGAGTCCTATGGAAGGTGGTTGGTTTATGGGGGTGCTGCACCCATCAGGGATTGATCCCTGCACTAGCTCAGAGCTAAGCGTGCTGTTAGGAGTTGGGGCTCTGTTGGAGCAGGGGTCACAGGGCAGTGTGCCCCTGGTGGGTGCGTCTCCCTGCCTGGCTCCTGCTGTGTCCCTGGAGGGTGGGTGCACCTCCCTGCGTGGCTCCTGCCTTCTCTCTCTGCCATCTGCAGAGCACCACCCTCTGCCACACTGCTCCACCGTGTCATTTCTACCTTGGACTTAGCAAACCACACAGACTGCAGCCCACAAGCCACAGGTCATATTAAACCACTCCCCGATAAATTGTGGTGTCAGGTATTCACCCAGTGACATCACTGCTAGTTGCCCAGGGGCTGACCTAGTCTCTAGCCCCACTAGAGATCAGGTTGACCACGTACAGGTCGAGGCCCCAGCCCCAGACACCTCAGCACCCAGGGCATTCACGGGCTCACAGGTGCCCTTCCTGGGGCCTGGCAGCGCACACCCCATCTTTGAAATGTGCAATGCGGACAGCTCCGCGCTCGTCCTCTGTCTGAGCTTGACTGTCTTCTGCTACAAACTGAAGTGATGTTCAGCTGCACCAAGATAATACATAGCTTTAAAGTGCTTCAGGGATTTAAAATTTTAATTAAGCAACACAGACGTTCAGTAAATTCTAAAAACCATTGTATTTCAACAAATAGTTAAGAAACAGCAGTGTAAAGAAATGCCACATTTTTGTATTTTTCCTACAATCAGGTAATAGTTCTCTTCGTCCCTGCACTCAGCTGGTGGGGACACATGCTGTTCTCCCAGCCACTGCCCGCCGCTCCTGGCTCTTCCCCCTGCCTAGGCCCCACCCAACTCTTGGGAAAATGAGCCCCTCTCTGGAGACTTCGAAAATTAGTTCAGGCTAATTGCTGCTAGATAAGAAGAGTTTAGCAGCTGTTTCAAATAAGAAGTAAAGGGAGATGCACTTATGTTGCAGCCAAAAGAATTTCGGTTCAATGTAAGGACAGCTTGCTAGCTAATAAGAGCCACGGAAAACTAAAGTAGTGATCAAGGTTGCTAGACTCTCCCTGTTTAAAATAAAAATAAATTTCAAAAAATAAAGAGAAAGTTGCTTCTTCAAGTTTACACCTGAGGCTACCAGCGTGCTATGCTCCCGGCAACAGCTCTCGATGGGAGTGAAACCACGTCCAGAAATAACTCAGCAAACCAGACCTCCAAAGCAGGCCGGAATTCCGGGGCGACAAGAGCATTCCTAAGGCTCTGCTCATTCCAGTTGAGTGTCAGCTGGCAGCTGGATTAATTTTGGAGAACTGTGTGGGGTTATTTGGGATGAAAATGCAAGAACACGGAGTTTATTCTGAGCTAGTATTAGGCCAACTAGACTAGGAGAAAGCAAGGCAGAAGATCAGGAAGATCTCGCTTCTTAGCCTCTTCCTTTCCACTTGGGCAGCTGTGGAGGCGCCACGCTTTGAAGTGCTGCTGTTTGAGTCCTAACAACTTCTGGTCAGGTGTCCCATACTGCCTGCTGATTGGTGCTGCCTCGGCAGGGTACAAGGCGGGATCTGGACAAAGGACAAGGAGAGGGACAAGAGGAAGCCAGGACCACAGACGCAGATGCACCCCAAGGGCAGGGACATATTTACGATCAGCATGAAAAGCACAGCAGGATGGGCAGTTCACATTGGGAATAGTTATTCTTAGACAAGACGGAGGGTAGTGACGAACTCTCACTC